GAGTCGCGTCGCTGTGGCTGAGTGAATTTGTGGTATTTGAAAGATGATATGCACATCTATGTACATACTTGTGTGTGGATGTGATTGAGTTCTTGGATTTAAATTTTAGTGTACTGCCGGCAAAATCAATTTAAATGAAATGCACACAAAAATAATGATTTGTGAAAAAGTTTTATTTGTTTCTTTTCTTTTTGTTATTATTTAATTTTTTTTTAATGATCGATTGGTGTTTACCTTACAGCTAATCATTAATTTTATGTGGAAAGATTCAATGGCAGAAGCAAAGGATTATTTTAAAATCCTTTTTTCGCCGCCGATGCTTTTGTTTTTTTTCCATTAAAAATTCTTTGGCCAAAGTCTACGACCAGAAACGGAAGCCTTGTAGCTGACTTAGTCCTTTGTTAGACTAATGAGAACATGCCCGACTACGATTCTAGAGTCACTACTGTGATGGAGTGAAAGTAGAGAGCTGCCACTACTGCATTGTACAACATTTTTAGAAAGAAGCTTCGTAAAGGTCTTTTCAGAAAGAAACCAGTGCAGAAAAGGACAATCTATTCGCATTACCAAGGGAACCTACCTTGGCAAAAAGTTTCGAGAGAAAGATATTTACATTGGCGCGCAGTCGGTTCAGGCAACAGAAGGTAACAAAGTTGCCACCTTTTTTGTGGGACCGGAACTATTTTGTGGTCTCAGTTGCACAGAGGGCCAGAGTTGAGCCAAAAGTAGCCAAAATTCAAGTATCGAATTTGATTCAAATCATTTTATTTTCGATTTACAGATAAAGAGAAAAAGTTAAAGAATAATTTTTAAAATAATCTACGAAGTTTTATATTAGAACGCCCTTAAAGATAAAAAAAATTCATAATGAAATGAGAAACTTTATTTTTTAGATATTTAGATGGTTCTCAAACAAGCTTGTCGTAAATTTTTTGGAAGTTATATTGAATAGGCCATTTCGAATTTATGCAATGTGATACTAAATTTATTATTTTTTGAGCTCAAAAACACACACGATCACCAAAAAAAAAACTGAATAACAAAGTTCGAGTTAATCCGTCCGCCATATGGGATCTGCCATTTTATATTTATAAAATTTAACCTCAGGTTCTTAATCGACGACACCCACAATATCTAAGTAACAATTTCAGCGCTAATCCGATCGACCGCCATTTTGAATTTTTTTTAAGTTAAAACCCCATTCGTAATCAGCGAGCCCAAAAACCCCCGGGTGACAAGTTTCAAGCCAATCCGATAAGATTTTGAATTTTGGCCAGTTTTGATCGCTTCCTGGCCCACAGTTAGTTGGCCTACTTCGAGAGTGAATAAACATAGAGCGCGATAAGTAATGGCCGGCCATATATAGATGCCTCAGCCAGACCAGTTCTTCGACTGCGTATCAATATGATAGGCAGGATATTTTTCTCAAGCCCAGCGGGCTACATTCCCATTAGACTAAATTTCCAAAACGACGACAAACAGCGAGTGAAAGGGTAAAGCATTAAATTCTTGTGATGGACTGATTCTCCTCATGAACTGCAATCGGCTGTCATCGCAGTTGTACAGTTAATTAAAATGTGGCGTTGATCACCATAAAGACTTCATAAAAAAACAACTGAAATCGTCAGAGTTTTTAAATATCCTGCCATATAATCTACGGTAAACTTCGGTTGAATGACCCCCGTTTAAAGGGTTCCCCCGCTTAAATGCTTTCGGGGCTTACGTTAACCAATTACTCAGTCAAAAATAAGATTTTCATTTAAAATAAATAAGTGGTTTAAAACAACAACAAACTATTTTTAACCAACATCAGTTTTATGACATCTTGTGAATCCCCGAAATATTTCTAGTGGTATGGGCAAGCGGATAGACAAACAAACAGCGATACCACGGTATTTTTAATTTTAGTTTACGGCTACGAACGGTAACATGCCTACACATGCATACATACATACTTACAAACATGTGTATGTACATACAAGTACATATATGTCGGAGGAAAAAATTGAAAAACGTGTTCTTTATTGCAAAAATAAAAGCTTTTAAATATAGACGAGCAGCTTTGGCAGACTTAGTGACAGCAAACGGGGGAAAGCTGATGCTACAGTGGAGTCAGAGGAACGAGAATTTCACGTAATTCGTTTGGTAAATGAAAGTTAATTATGTACATTTTGCTGGCAAATTTTATGAATTGAACTAAGTAATGCAGAGCACAATTGGCGTGGGAGTTTTGAATGGCAATCGAAATGAGTAAAAGGGAAGCCAAGTGGCAAATTTTTTCGCAGAGAAATCCGGCAATATCTTTAGCATTGGTATCATTGAACATACTTGTATGTTGGACTATGTATGGTTATTTTCTAAACATCAAAATTAGTTTATAAAAAGCATACTACTCGCTTACAGTTCAATCCGGATTCCGGAATGATTATTTAATAGTTTTATCAATTTTATTTTATAGTTTTATCAAGTTTATTTTGCACCACGTGGACCAATTTCTATAATTTTTTTTAAAGTAAAGGTGTACCTCAGAGGTGGTCCCATACTAATTTGGTATAGCTCCGATCATTGGATCATGAAGAAATTAACGGCATTCTTAAATATTTATATGAGTGTTGAAATCGGTTTAATTTTGCTTTAAAATTACTTGTTTTATTACTGAATCGCAAGCTACAGTAAAATCAAAGCATTTTCGGACGATGTTCGATGACCTGTATTCAGTGTTAAGTGATTGGTATTGAAAACTGCGGAAATTTGTGGGACTGTGTGTCTTCTAAAAGCCTCACGGAGTTGCATAAAATATTCTTCACAGTCGACATGGTTATTTCGTAAAGCCCTTTTAATAAAACATATATCTACACATAAGCAAGACAAATTTGCAAAAATACACAGGGCTACTTACTAAATATATACTACACAGCCATACTATAAGCGTCAGCAATACGTACTAGCGTCAGCACTTGATTAACCGAAAATAAAAAAATAAATAAATTATAAAAGAAAATACTTTTCTTTAGTCTGCCAGGCGGTGAGGAAATATTGGCATTCATCACGAGGGAAGAGAATTTTTTTTTGAAAAACTATAGTGAAACGTCTACAAGATTATTTCACTACTTTCTCGAGCATTCATCGAAATGCCTATTTGAATAAAATATTCATATGCGTACATATGTATGTACAAATTTATGTATGCACATTAGGGTGGTCCAAAAATGTAGGTATGTGAAAAGGAAAGTACGAATTTTAATGCTCTCACCCGTGGTATTGTTCTAAATCGAAAAACTAAACCCCTGTTTTTTTTTATTTTGAAACTAACAAATATTTAGAGGTCGCTCATATATTTTATATGGGAAAAAACAATTTTTCGTGGGAATGATATAGAATTCCTGAAAAAGTTTAAGCACTTTGAGCGACCTCTATATATGTATTTGATTTCAAAATAAAAAAAGGGGTATACATCTTTTTTAGATTACAACAATCCTACGGGGTGAGAGTATTAAAATTCCCGCTTTATTTTTTTTTTTTACCACCCTAATCCACATTTGTATATGTATGCATACTTATACCACTTTTAATCATTTAATGCGTACATGTGTAGAACTTAATCTTACTTCATATGTATGTACATACATTTGTAACAGCAAATAATTTTTATGAATATCTGTGCCAAGTGGACTCATAGTCTGTCTGGCTAAATCAGCTGACTGGCAAGCTACACAAGTTGTGGGAGGATTTTCCACATTTTGGCTACCAAATGAAATTCTTCTTGAGCTTATGAACTACGTATTTATTTTTATTTATTTATTGTGACAGTAGTTTTATTTTTATATTTATGTCTGTCACAATCTCATGTATTGACTGTGACAAAATTTTTCCAGTGGTCTTTTAACATTATTAAACTTTAAAAGTTCACTTTTACATATCTATGTATTTATGTTTTTAGGACTGTCAAAAGAACTGCAATTCCTATGAATTACATAATTATATCGAAACTATGCACTATGGGTAATTTTACCCATTTTTGTGGCAAAAGTTAATTTTGTTGATTATCAAAAAAAAAAAACGAAATGTATTAATAGGTATATGATTTCTCTAATTTTTGGATTAAAAACAATCTTAACCCTTGACGACCGATGAGTATAAAGAGGTCACTTTTTAATTTGTAGTTTTGTTGAAAAAGTTCACTTACAGTTTTTTTGTAAATATCTATATTGAACCAAAAAAATGCCACTTGTTTACCAAAACTATTGAAGTAGTGAGTATTTTTGAAATTGCGTTATCTACTCAAATAACAACATTAAATTAAATATTTTTTAGAAGTAAAACGTTAAAATACTGACAATGAGTTACCAAATTTACTTTAAATTATTTCATTTCTACCCTCAATTCCTACAACTTCGGCATTCAGAGAAAGAGTTTTTTTCTATTATGAATGGGAAATGGCGAGACGAGAGATACTAAGCGACTATTTACCCCGCACTAATAAAAATTTAACTTTTGATTTATATTCCTACTATTTTCGTAGCAAATAGTGATTTGTTAAAAACTATGAAAAGTGCAAAGGAATATACTTTTTATTATTGTTTATTTTTTCTTTTAAACAAAATACTATATTTATTTGAGTGTACTATAATTTTGTTGAGATTTTTTGGAAGAACTACTATAAATATCTTGGAAAATTTTGGCAACCCTAGATGTGCAGCGCTAATTCCAAATTTTAAGCGTTTTTAAATTATTTTCAAAAAGGAGTCTTCCTCCACTTCTTAGTCGTAAACGCGACCGATTTCAATTACTTAGCTTAGGCACCAAATTTTCTTCCAATTTTTTTTTATTACATTTATTATTTTCTTAAAAAATAGTGTCTTAAAATATAATTTGTCTAACACATTTATTCTAACTTTAGCCTTGAATTATTTAACCTCGTACGCAAATAATGGTGCTTTCCTATAATGGTGTTGCTCGTTTGCATAGTAGATATTTATATGACCATAACCTTGGTGGTTTCAAATGTGACCATGAACGACGTGCGAATAAGCTTGAGGATGGTGGGCATGCCCGATTCTCTTAACAACAGCTTGGAAACCTTTATGTTTATCAGCTGTGTACTCCACAACGCGTATGGTGCCATCAGCTTCCGCAAAAGTGTAGCCACCTAATGACAATTTAGGAATTAAGGACTAGAATAATAAATATTTTCAAGAAATTTAACAAACCTTTCACATGATCGCCATCACGGTGCTCCCATTGACTCTTATGATCACCGGTGTGTGCGTCCTTTACGCCATATTTGAACTCGTATTTGGGATGATGATGGGGTTCGTGATGATGGACGTGCTGATGGTGAGTGTGGCTGCCATATCCGTGATTACCATGATGATGGACGTCAAAGTGTTGCTGCACCGAAGCGTAGCTGGAGGCGTGCCCGTGAGGTATATGTCCTGCGAATGCAACTGCAAAGAGTGCTGTCGTGACAACGATGGCGATAGGCGTGGTGCTATGCATTTTATGTATGTCGTTGAAATCGAAAATCTAAAATTATTGGCTGTTGTTTTGGTAAGTGACTCTCTTAGATGCTGGTACTTTACTGATTAAAAAATGCAGTTTATAATTTGCTTTTATATCTTAAGGCTTTCATAGTTGATTCTCACATTCTGAATGTATGTATATATTTGGAGGCCCAAGCCGTTCTCTTTCGATTTTTAAAAAGTTGGCAATCGCCAAAAAATAAAAAAATATAATCAGATGGTCAATTAGCGCTATCACCTTGTTGCTGTTAGCAAACACTCATTTAATCAAAGGTCACTGTGAAAATTGCCCTGCTGCACAGCCTAATTATTAATACCGAATTGTTGATAGCTACTAAGTTCGCACTTTAGTCAATCGATCTACCCTAGCTACTTACTTTCTAAGTAGCCACTGTTATCAGAGTATCTTAGTTCATTTAATTAGCTTTAAATTCACTCTATGGGTAACCGTTTTAATGCCAAGAAATAAATATTACAGCGTAGTTATTAATACGGCACCTTCGAAATTTCAAGTAAGTAATTAGCGAACTTAGCACCAAGCAAAACCGAATTAAACTAAAATGCTGAAAATTATATTTTGTCGCACTGGTTAAGGTTACTAAAAAACCAATTTGGTAGTTGAAAGTGCTAAAATCTTAATCGATTTGGTATAAATAGAAACTGCAAGCAGCTGTTTGGTATCAGTTAACCACTAGCTTCTAAAAGAGTCACTGGGGCCTAGATATCACACTTAGCCCAAGCAAAATGCATACCATCTCGTGTATCGCCATCCTCATCACAACAGCACTTTTTGGAGTTGCATTCGCAGGGCCTGCGCCTCATGGACTCGCCTCTAGCTATGCTTCGGTGCAGCAACACTTTGACGTCCATCATCATGGTAATCACGGATATGGCAGCCATGTCAGCCATCATCACGAGCCCCATCATCATCCCAAATACGAGTTCAAATATGGCGTAAAGGACGCACACACCGGTGATCATAAGAGCCAATGGGAACACCGTGATGGCGATCATGTGAAAGGTTTGTTAAATTTCTTGAAAATATTTATTATTCTAGTCCTTAATTCCTAAATTGTCATTAGGTGGCTACACTTTTGCGGAAGCTGATGGCACTATACGCGTTGTGGAGTACACTGTTGATAAACATAATGGTTTCCAAGCTGTTGTCAAGAGAATCGGGCATGCCCACCATCCGCAGGTCCACCATCATGGTGGCAGCCATGGTTTCCAGGGTTAGGTTAAGCACGTTTTCATTAATTGTTTCCACCTCAGTGGTGTTTGTTAAATTTTTTTAAGTATTCGTGGCATTAGCCTGAAAAATTGTTGTATCTAATTTTTTGTTTTTAGCTTTAATTTTTTTTTTTAGTAAAGTAATTCGTCCAAAGTGTTTTAATATTATTTACTTTTATTCGACAATAATTGCTACAAATAGAAAGAATTCAATTTTAATAAAGTCGGAAACACCAGAAAAATAAAAAATTCTATTCTAATTTCAACAAAAAAATTTTAAATGATTTTTTAATTAGCATAAGTAAATAATTTTATTCATTTAAATTGGCATTTTTGCATTACAATTTTCCTATAATCAAATATATTTCCTCGAAAATTCAGTGTTTATCGATCTTTGGCTTACTTAACAACAAAATGAACTAAAATGATTTACATTAAATTAAATTAAAACAAGATAAATTGAAACATTTTAAATAGTAGTAATTTTTTTCTAAAAATATATGTATGTATCTTCTGCCGGAAGTGTTTGCTTAAAATATTTTTTCTGCTTAGTCAGACTCATTTTCTATTAAAAACACTTTTATTGCGGCTTTCAGTTTTTATTTTAGTTCATCCCAATGTTAATTTGCTCTTAGTTATTCCAACTTTAAATAAATTTTTTGACATTTAAGTGCAATAAATTTTCGCGTGCTTATTTTGTTATGTATGTATATACATATGTACCTACATTAGGGAACTCCTTAAAATATCGTAATCATATGGATAACCCTTTTACTTCGTTCTACGTACAAAACAAATACATCAGCGAAAGTCTCAAAATTTTAAAATAATAATTAGCGGTCGCAGGGTTTGAAAATATTAAAATTTTACAAAATTTACATATTTTGTTACTAAAGAAAAAAATAAAAAAAAAATGCATTTAGAGCTCAGGAAATCCATATTAACTCTCCCCTGTACACGATTTTCTTCATAGAAATTATTTGCAAACTTAGAGGTAAACTTTTAAATTTTAATATTTCAAAGCCTTAAAGTTATTTCAAAACTTTTAAATTTTTGTGGATGTCTTTATTTTGTACCAAATTTAGATATGGATATTTTTAAGGAGCACCCTAATATATTTACATACATACATAGAAGTATGCTAGCCGGCATACATATGTTTATGACTTAAGCAACTAATTTATGTTAATAATTTGTACGCGTATAGACCACTAGCTGGGCGGAGATGCGAGTATTAGTCCGAAAACCTTTGACTCAGACAATCGGCATTTCAATGTCGCTCGCAATGAGAGAGAGGAAACAGATTTACGCATCTATTAAAAAAGAGTAGTTGAACTAAGAAAAAAATATCTGATATTTTTTATGACTCGGGTAATTTCTTCGTAATACCAATGTGCCAACATTTATTTCATGTCAGTCCATAAAAAGGAGGACTGACTAAAAAAATTAAAAACGGTGGTTCGTTTTCTTTGTTTCAAGCTCCTGTGGTGTAATCAATGGATTTTTGCAAGCTGATCTTAAATATGGCTACGCCATTTTCGTATCTCATCGGGTTTGAAAGTTATAGAGCCTTTTTCTTGTATAATTTTAGGGCTCTTAGGCTCGGTTTGGTTTTGAAAATTTTTCGCAGAGCACATTTTTCGGACTTGCTTTGTTAGTCAAAGTTGAAAAATAAGGCGCACCCTAATGTAAAACTTGTCTCAAATACTAATGAACGGATTTCAACCAAATTTTGACAGCATATTCCTTAGACTAGACATAGGCTAGGTGGCGCTAGAGTCGATATTTTCATAAAATCTGTATTTACCGTCCGATTTTGATGAAATTTGGTGAGAAATACTTTTGTGAAAAATGGATCCGCCAGATGGTGCTAGAGTCGAGTTATTCAGAAAATTTATGATCCGATTTGGAAGCAACGTATGTAGTATACTCCACGTAAATCGGGACAGCTAACAACAATTATCAAAACTACACACGATTTTTTAGTCGCTTGGAACTTGAGCTTTATTATACCAGAATTTTATTGGCTATAAAACTGCATAAGTACTCAAAAATGTTTTAGAGGTTTAATTTAAAAAGTTTAAAATTTCGATGAAAATTTGATGAATTTTTCTAAATTTTTTTTTTAAGTTTTGAAATATATATATTTTACAAAAAATTATTTTTAGCTTGAAAAACATTGTGTATATTTATTTTAGTCACNACTTGAGCTTTATTATACCAGAATTTTATTGGCTATAAAACTGCATAAGTACTCAAAAATGTTTTAGAGGTTTAATTTAAAAAGTTTAAAATTTCGATGAAAATTTGATGAATTTTTCTAATTTTTTTTTTAAGTTTTGAAATATATATTTACATTTTTTTGAATAAAGCATGATTAATAATTTTTACAAAAAATTATTTTTAGCTTGAAAAACATTGTGTATATTTATTTTAGTCACTGTATATCCTTAAATGTACATACATGTATAGCACAAACACAGCAGAAAAAATAAAAAAACGGAAATACGACTTTTTCCAGCAAACAAATGATATTTATGTACGTACATACATTTAAGAATTTTCGTCAACTATAATAAGTCCATGTCTAAGTGCGATTTTCATTTGCTAATTTATGGCAAATGAATTTCAACGTTTACCGTTTGATTTGAGTGAAATTAATTATAATAAGAATCTCTTCATTTAGTTTAGCTTCAGCGAGCAAGTAACTTACATGTCTTTCATATTTATTCTATTTATTTTAATAATTCTTTCTTATTTCTGTATGCGTACAATTCAACAATATTTTGAAAATAATTTTCATCATATATCCGCTAAATATTTATGCAGATTTATTTTTGGCGAAGGACGTGCCTTTATATCGCTGCTTATGTCTATTTGCTTAGCTGCTATGGGCTTGTTAGTACATACATACATCTGTACATACCTAAAATCACACAAATACAGGTATTTATTTATAGCAAATTCACTAAATATTCCATTTCCAAAAATTTTGAAAATCGTTTGCATAAATTTCAAACCAAAACGGCAGTGCGTGTTCATTCGATTAAACAATTAGCGTTAAAAACTTTCCATTCGAAATTATTTCAATGTCTAACATAACAGAACATTCAAGTGCACACAAATTTATTTATGCTCGATTTCGTTTATTTTCGGAATTTTAATTGGGGGGAAAAACTGTCCGTAAAAGTAATGCAAATGTAAATGCAATTCATTCGAATTCGATTACTTTGTTGTTATTGAATTATGCATTTTCAAAAGCATGCGAATATTTATAAAAATAGATTTGCTATATAAAAGAAATATTTAGCTACAAAAATGGCACGAAGTTCAACAATTACTGCACATTTCTGCTTGAAGTACTCGTAGTTGGAAATTTTGTAGAGCGCCCCCCTCAACTGGGAGGCTTATGTTTCCTGACAAAATCTGTTGTCTGCTAAACCAATTTTTCCTATTATTTTATGCCATGGCAAAACTACTGGTAGCACTAAATCGCATACATTTGGACCGAAATCTTTAATTTTTTGTTTGTTATTTAATATTTCTTAAGATTTCTTTTTATAAATTGCGGCTCTTAATGAATCATTTACCAGACAACACATTTAGCTTCTCTATTAATGTGTGTATATATATATATACCTTTCTATGCAAAAAAAGCATAAGAAAAATTCTAAAAAAGTGGTTGCTGCAATATTGGAAAACTAATGTAAAGCATCGAAATAAAACTTTTATGTGGCTATTAAAAATAGTAAAAACATATGCACACATAGAGCACATTTACATACATACATATGCAAATAAAATTTAAGTGCGGAATCTGGTAACTGTATACAAATATGTAAATTTGTGAGTCAATTACGTACATACATATGTATATGTACATACACACATACATATACATACACACAGACTGGCCTTTTAAACAATTGCAGTACCACCATCTAAAGATTTGGGTAAAATTTTGATTCAATCCCCTGAGAAAAAATTTAGTCCGTTTTAATCCATATAATCGTGATTATTTTCGTTATCGTTATCGTTCTAAAAAAAAAAAAATAGTGATATCCACGAAAATGTCAGAATTTTAAACAAATTTTTGAAGAACTTTAAATTTGTTTTTAATTTGCGAAAATTCGGTAAAAAAATTTATTTTAAATCTAAAAAATTTTACATACAAAATATTGAAACTTATTGATAAAAATTCATAAACTCGCTGAATTATACATAGCTGGTCAAAATAAAAATTATTTAGAATTTTTACGATTTAAAAAAAAACAATTATTTTTGAAATCTTGGTAGCGACCCATAAATTTTTTAATTTGCATATTTTTGTGTTCCGTGATACTGCTTTTTTAAGGACAACCTTAGTAGATAGTTTTATTGACCATAAAGATAGTAGAAATCACCCCAGTTATCGTTATCGATTTTTTAGAATTTCAATATCGGCACTAAATTCATAAATTTGATGAATCCTCGGCACGATTCAACTTTTAAATTAGCTTGGTTGTTGTTTATAAGAATTTTCAAAAATATGTTTATGTCAATCAAGGTATCAAATGTTAAATTTTTTCTGAAGCAAACGCCTCTATGAAAAAAAAAATACTTCTGGCCTAATATCTAAGATATTTTTTTTTAACCGATTTCAAGACTATAAGTAAAAAATACAGTTTGAGTTGTAGACTGTGATTTTGTAAGGGCATTTTTATAGATATTTTACTGCCAAAATTTTTATATGTTTTTAATTTTTCGATTACTTTTTTTTTTCTTTATACATGTGGTTATATTTCTTCTCTTTTTTTACATTTTTACATTTGTACCCTGAAATTTGTTGTCTTTTTTTAATTTTAATTGCTTTGTTTTCTAAAAAAAAAGTTTATAAAAAACATACATTTTCAAAAAAAACGAACTTATTATTTATGTGTATCAATTGGAATGCATAGAAACGACAATTAGCTAAGTCCAAAAGAAGCACAAAAAGTGCGATGAATTCAAAATAAAAATTAAAATTTT